GGTCGATGCGTGGAGGTGGAGGTGGGAGGTCACATGCTGCTGGGGGGTGGAGGTCGGAGTGCTGCGCTGCTGGACGCTGGAAGTCGACAGGTGGAAGTGTAGGTGGAAAGTCACATGCTGGAGGGTTGAGGTCGGAGTGTTGAGCTGCTGGGCGCTGGAGGTCGATGGGCGGGGGTGGAGGTGGAAAGTCGCATGCTGCTAGAGGGTGGAGATCGGAGTGCTGCGCTGCTGGACGCTGGAAGTCGATGGGTGGAGGTGGAGGTGGGAAAACGGAAGCTGGCGGCTGGAGGTCGGAATGCTTCGCTGCTGGACGCTGGAGGTCGATGGGTGGAGGTGGAGGTGGAAAGTAATATGCTGCTGGAGGGTGGAGGTTGGAGTGCTGCGCTGCTGGACGCCGGAGGTCGACAGGCGGGGGTGGAGGTTAAAAGTCGGATGCTGGAGGGCGGAGGTCGGAGTGTTGAGCTGCTGGGCGCTGGAGGTCGATGGGTGGAGGTGGAGGTGGAAAGTCACATGCCGCTGGAGGGTGGAGGTGGGTGTGCTGCGCTGCTGGACGCCGGAGGTCGATGGGTGGAGGTGGAAGGGGAAAGTCACATGCTGCTGGGGGGTGGAGGTCGGAGTGCTGAGCTGCTGAACGCCGGAGGTCGATAGGCGGACGTGGAGGTGGAGGTGGGAATTCGAATGTTCGAAACTCGAGGTCGGATTGCCGAGCTGGAGGTAGGAGGTGAGATGCCGAAGTCCGCGGGTAGAGGCAGAGGTCGGAGAGCAGCGTCTCGCCGAAGTGGTCGTACCCGTCCGTGCTCCCGCGCAGTGGGAGGGACGGCTGCCGGACAGCTCCAGGCAGTGTCGTTCCCAGTGCGGTTCTGGCGGTTGTCGGAAATGTGATAGTACTCCGGGCGTTCAGCTCCATGATCCTGATCATGGGAGGGCCCGTCGTAGAGAAAAGCATGTTGAGGACAAGGCTCAGAAGGATCAGCAACATCTGGAACCAAAGCGGTGGATATCCCGAAGTCTGTCCTGGAAGAAGTGGTCGCCGGGGTACTGTCGGAAGTGGTAACTGCGCCCAAACTCACAGTAACACCTGCAGAGAAAGACGAATAGAGACGAGGAAGAGGTTCAGGAGGATCGGGAAGATGTGGAACCAGACGAATGGATGTGTCGGTATCTTTGCCCGTGATCTCCACCTCCACGTGGAGGTTACCAGGGCCCGCCATGCGTCCTACTTGGACCCTTTGGATCCCCCTTTGCGGATCGTTTTAGATTCTTCGCGGCATGGGTGACGATCTCATCACATTTCGTGGTAAGCTCGGTCAATTCTGCGCGGTTGTGCAAGGCTCCCCAATCTGCCCGTTCACCAGGGACCCACTCCCGGATAACCGTGCCTCCATCAATATTCACGGTCAGAGCCGACTCTCCACCAACTGTTACCGTGTATGGTTGGTATGTGTCGTCGACGCGTATGGGGTAAGTGATGCTCATCGTGTCCTTCAAAATCTATTTAACGCCAAAGTAATAATTGCGTGCAGCGCGGATCAGTGGCGGACGATCGTTTGTAGCCCAGATCTGCCGTCCGCTCTTGTTGATCTTGGCGCTCCGAATCTGGCCAACCGCAAGGTTTCTGTCGTCAACGCAGAGAAACTCTATGAAAAATAGATCGTTGAATTCGTTGGTGACGGTGCCCCTAGACGTTGTAGTTCTTGTTTGATCCGAGCGCTTGCGTCCTCCAATGTGTCGAAATCGTTGAGGTTTCCGATGGCAGCAGTGATGTCCCTCTTGTCTGTGATGCTGTTGGTGCTGTGGGTGACGTATGCTGCCAGACGTGCTGGCGTAGCTCGTTGCTGCTTCAATGCTTCGCCGTCTATCGCCAGCTGCAGTAGTTTGGCATTGGTAGTCGAGCCCACTCTCGCTGCGGATGTTGCTGATGACGGCCGGGAAGAAGTTTCCAATGTCGATACACGTTTGGTAATGTCGTCGATGGATGCTTGAAGAGGTTTAGCTGCGGTGTCAAGGGCCTCACGCGAGATCCCAGATGTCTTGATGGCTGTGATGTCGTTGCGGATCGGTTCCAAGTGTTCGTTCAGGATGACTTTGAGCGTCTCTGCAGTCAGAGCCGCTTCAGAAGCCACGTTGGTGCCCGTGGTGTTGTTCTTGTCGGCGTAAGAGAGAAAGGAATTGTGTGATGGAAAAGGGGTAGTAGGATGAGCGGATGCCTTGAGCGGATGCCTTGAGCCAAGATGGCTTGAGCCAAAATGGCGACTGCAGCTTCAGCCAGCTACTGCAGCTGCGCCATGACGCTGGCGGATGATCGCCAGCTGCTTCAGAGCAAGGTCGTGGTTCCCGTCGTCAGTAGACTCTGAGGTTCTGCGAGAAACGCAAGAACTGCAACGACTGATCAGACAAGCGCAGGTCAAGACTCCGAAGCCCGCGACGAGGCCAACCACGAAACCGAGCACTCCAGCTCAGCTCGAAGGCGCCCCGCCGCTCGCTGAGACGGAAGGGCACGCGAAAATCGGACAGGTGATGTTGATGGCTGGAGTCGCACGGGGAACTGACGGACACGCGACAGAGCAGTCGGGGTACGGCGGGCACTGCTGGGAGCCAAGGGCCCACAGATGCCGAGGACTGAGGCCTCGGACGCGGCCAGCTTGTAGGCCCAGGGGGCCATAAGAACAGACTTGAACCGTAATGATATACTACGGCACCCCCAAATGCTTTTTCATAGCTCGTGAATTGTACGACATGCAAAATGGTATATATGATGATATAAAGACACACAATAATGAAGAAGAGGGAAAGAGATATGGATATCTGCGATGTCTGTATGCATGTATACTTACGTGTTTAGAGTGGGCCCCTAACAATGAAATAATGCTTGCATCCTGGATCCTGAGTGTGTGGGCTCCCTGGTGCAATATATGTGATTTACGCTTTGTGTTGTGCAGGCTGTGTGATGCAAACAATGCGGTGCAAGGGAGTTCGTGCAGTCGATGCGTAGTGTAAGCAATGTGGTAAACAATCAAGCTATGCGGTGAAGGCTACGCGATAAGCGTTATGATGAGTTGATTACGTGGTGCATGTAAGCAGCGTGGTCTAACTCATGCTGCGCAAATTGCTGCGCCGATTACAACACGGGGAGGCAAGCAGCACGAGGCGTCCACGGCCGCCCACCAGGCGAAACCTCGGCAGACCCAGCCAACGCACAGGGCGTCCACGAAGCGCCCACGGCCGCCCACCTGGCGAAGACATCGGCATCCCGGCATCTCTGGAACGCCCGTGACGAGGCGCAGCTGCTGGAAACCGCCCCAGGCAGCGGAAATTCCAGAAGACTCGAGGGAACTTTCGAGAACGTTCTGCCCCACCTGTCCCACCATGACGTTGCCCCTAGATCCTTGAGCCCCCCCACACTCGACCCTCTCCACCAGACATCCGGCATCGTGTTTTATTTCATGACGCGGACCCCAGGTCTGGACCCCTCCCCCAGGACCATCTTTTCATCCTGAGTCGTTCTTTGACGGCCCTGGGGCCCAGCACGGGCCCCCAAAGGCGAAAATGGGCAGGCGCCCTCCGTCTTGATTTTTGTCACATCGAGGGGATGTCAGGTCTCCGCCCCCCTCCGACTGTTTTCAGGCGATCAGCTGGCGGCTCCGGCATCCCCAGAACGCCCGTGACGAAGCGCAACTGATGGGAACCGTTCCGGGCCCAACGGCCTCCGAAAACCGGTCGAAAGCTTCTGAAAGTCTCTCCAACGCTTCGCGAATCGATCCTCCTCTTCGAGCCCCCTCTCCAATCGACCCTCCTCCTCCCCCAGGAGATCGGGCGTGGATTAGCCCGGCTCAGCGCAAGCCCAACTCAACCTCAACAGAAAGCGCTGCAACTTTTTGGGGGGCCTCCTATACCCGGCTCAGCCAAGATGTAAGGCCACCGCCAGGGCCGCGAGCGGGTCCCAAACCCAGCTCAGCCAAACTCCGCCTCTGCATGATTCTGTAGGATCTGGCGTTCTGGCTGAGCCCTGTCTGCGATGAATCCCGTTACCAGATGGGGTCCGAGTCCAAATGGATGGGGTCGGAAGGTCGCGCCGCATCGGGGATGCATTGGCGACATCGGCGATGCATCGGCGACGTCAGCGATGCATCGCTGCCGCCAGTGTGGCGAAAAACGGGCTCCGCATCGAGCCACGTCACCGATGCAACGGCGATGCGGTGCGATCCTCATGAGGGGCAAAAAGTTGCCGATGCCGCTGCTCCCCGGACCTCTCCCGGGGTACGTTCTGACCAGAATTCCGAGGAGAATCCAGCCGTAGTGACGAGAACTCTCCAGGATGAACAGCAGTATCGTTACGTATGGCTGATTCCAAAAGCCCCGAGCCCAAAAATGTTGTCATCTCTTGGGGGCGCATCTTTTCCTTCCGCAACCTTCCGTCGGCTTCCGCTAGCGGAGGCGGCCTTCTTTTACTTCTGCCGACCTTCCGCCACCCTTTCCGCCGCCTTCCGCCGCCTTCTGCCGAAGAAGGGATGACAACTCCTTCGATCCTCGAAGGCAAAACCCTTCTTTGGAACGCCTCATGTATTTTCCTCCTCTGACCTCCGACCTTGGCCGGGAGGCCTAGAGCTGCGTGCGCCCCAAGGGTTATGTGGTTCCCATCGTACTCAAGGACCACATCCCATAAATAACTTCGAGCACCCAGAAAAACATCGAATGAATATCAAACGAATATCGCCTCCCAGGGCCCGACACGTGAAAACCCTCCAGTTTCGTTACCTTCTTGGTGCTCGAAATTCTTCCTGGTGGTCAAGGCTGAAGTAAGTTAGAAAATCATAACCCAAGGTAGACAAGCGCGTTCCACTACTCGCAAAGTAGCTACTCGCAAATGGCCTGGATTGCCGCAGGGGATTTACGATACATTGCACAAAGGCAGACGCATGGTTTTCCAGGACGTTTGCGAGTATGCACTTTGCGAGTAGTGGAACGCACTCGGCGACAAGGGGAGCCGGGGCCCCCCGCTCCAGCTCTGGCCCCTGGTGCGGCGAGGCGCGCAGGGCGGCCAGCGCGCGCTCGCGCTGCACGGCGAGGCCCTGCGGCGAGCGCCGCCGCGCGGGCTGCGGCCGCCGTCGTCAGCCGGCCAGCCCGTGCAGTGCGTCGATCGAGGCTCGAGGCTCGAGGCTCGAGCCTTCGTGGAATCCTCGCGTCGTGACAGAACAGAAATGCGATGGTAAGCTTCTTCCTAATTTTCGGAAGGTCTGCTCGGAGGCCGTTGGGCCCGGAATGGATCCCCATCTCACCGTGCCTCGTCAAACGCGTTCTGGGGATGGCGGGATCGCCCCGAACGGCCGCCAGAGGCCCGAGTTCTCGCACGGAGAAATCAGAGGTCGGGGCCCTAACATCCTGTCCTTGTTCCGCGGTGCGCACAAGGGGGTAAGAGGAAGGGGGAAGGCTTCTCACAAGGAGGATACGTCTTGGAAGGCGCTGGCCTTACATCTATAGATAAGGCCCGCGCCTTCGGAGAAGCAAGGGGTGCTTGTCTCAGATAGGGAGCCCACAAGAGACGTACGCGCCCAGCCACATACATGAGCACGGCCCCACAGTCCGCGAGACCAGCCTCGTGATACGACCGCTTGCGCAATGCGCAGGTTCGAAACCATAGTGGATTCATGTACGTGTGTGTCATTCTTTCCCCCCTGCCCCCCCCAAAAAAACAACCCTGTGCGGTCGGCCGAGATGTGAGAAGAGCACGACGGGTCTGCCTTGCTAACGTTCGGCCTCCAGGGGCCCGCGCCGGGCCCTGGGGCCGCCAGAGAGCAGCGCAAGATCAGAGGCCGGTCCGTGGGGAAGGGGTCCAGACCTCTGGGGGGCCGCGTTGCGAATGCATCACGCCGGCGGATCGAAATTCGAGGCCCGAGAGGATCAGGGTTCGGGGGTCGAGGCTCGAGTATTCGGGGTTCTCCTTGGGAGTTTTTCTGGGCCACCTTACTTCGCGCATCGCGCACCGCGGTGCACGACGCGAGGTGTTATCTCTTCGCGCCCTCGCGCCCACGCGCCGCCTGATCGGAGAAGGCCAGACGCTCCGACCCAGACCGCGACGCGCGTGGCGCGATTCCCTTCGCGCTCCAGCGGGTGACCTTTAGTCATAGTAGGATGCAAGGCAAGAATGCAAGACCCTTGGATGTCCCACTTACCATGTAGAACTCCTTGGACATCAACATCGGCTCAGGATGGGCCGAATAAGCAGGGATGCAAGGGTAGCCTTGATGAAGCAGCGCATCCTTACGATGAATTTCGACTGTTGTGTTTTCTTTGTTAGCCTTCCTGGACGCAGCGGGGAACCGTCGTTCGTCAGGAAGGTCTGGCGAGGCCCTGGCGAGCGGTGGTGCGGTCCTCGCCGGCCGGTCCTCCGTTGAAGTCCGTCGCGCGAGGTCCGAGGTACGAGGATCGACGTCGAGGCTCAGGGAGCGCGACCACAGTGCTACACCCGACTCACCCTCGATCGCAGTGCGAATCAACAGGTCGCCAGCCAAACCGGAAACGCTACACAAGCCGACCTGCGAGGGGCGAATTCATGCACTGAACCGCGAGACACGAGCGAGTCGCATGCGTCAGGACAGGAAGAAGCGAGGAGAAGAGAGCGCCACAATGTGGCACACCTTACTGGGGGGCCTTCCTGGGCCCTGCGGGAGACCGTCGATCGTCGGAAGGGTGGTCCGCCCGTCGCCGCAGCCCTCGTCGCCGGGCGCGGCGGTGTGGGTTTGCTCTGGTCGTCCGTCACATGGCACCGGGCAAGAATGGCCTCTCGTGCGTGGCTTCAGGAAGCCGCGGGGAGGGCAAGTCCAGGCGCGCGAGCTGGCGCAGGGTTGCGGTGGACCCCTCTTGGCCCTGACCCGAGGTCACTCAAGCGAAGTGCCACTGTCACGCGTACCCTGAGATCCGACGTCACGAAAAAATGCAACATCGCAGAAACACTTCACCTTCGTCCTGGACCCCATCTTTGTGCTACATTTTTCGAGCAAGATCGATCCGTGCGGGTCCCTATCGTCGATCCATCGGCGGTGTATCGCCGATTCCAGCTCGATGGTTCCCCCCCCAGAGCTGCCACCCCCCTCACGTTGCTCTCAAGGCTGGCCCTCCTCCGAGCCAGGGACCCGAGCCGGCGCCGTGACAGCCCGTCTCGGCGCGGCGGCCGCGCGGGCGCACGCCTTCGGGGCCGGGCCAGATTCGGCTACATGATCGACGATCGACGACTGCTAGTAAGGACGCACGATAAGGATGCAACGGTCTTGGAAGGCCATGCCGACACGTTTCGAGCGGGGCGCGGCCAACGAAAGTGGCCAAGGATGGGCCTAAGGGAAAGAATGCAAGGGAGACCTTGGAAAGTCGCTCATCCTTACTATCAGCGCTGACTGTAACAGTAAGTCGCGCCAGAACCAAACCCAAAGTCGATCTTTCCCCCCGAATCCGACCTCCCCAACTTCGCGGGCCCCGATAATATTCAGGGGGAGCACTCGGTCGCGCCAGCACCGAAGCAGTCGAGCAAATCCGTTGTGTGGGCCCCAAGATCGGGAAGACGCAAGACTCGGGTTCGGGGGACTCGGGTTGGCCTTACTGGGCCATCCTGAAAATGACGAGACCCAGTCTGAAATTTGGCGCGAGCTCCCGCTGCACACATCCCACGAAAACTGGGCCGTCAAAGTGCATGACGCGCTCGTCAGAGAGCGTCGGCAAACCCGAGTTCTGGCTTACTCGAGTCTTACGTTTCTCCAACAGGAAGCTCCCCCAAGACGAACGAACATCCAACCTACGGTTAGGTCGGGCATGTCCGCCCACAGGTGGATTTTGGACGAACAATTAAAAAAGTAAACAAACTAATCCGAAATCGTGAAGAATAGTCACAAACAATTGTCCCAATAGTTTGATTAGGCAGTGTTTGACTTTTCCTCCTGTAGAGGGACGTGCTCGATCTAAACCTACGGGGACCCACGAGGCCGCCCGAAGCCCTCGCGCCTCGAGCCTCGAGCGGGGAGGCCCGGCACGAGGCGCCACTGAGGGCCACCCGAGGGCCTCGCCCTCGGAGCGCCGCCACCGTGCGAGGGCGGCGGCGAGCCACGGGCGAGTGGCAACTGGGTGGCGGAACGACAACGGGCCTTACCCGTCGGTCGGAAGAAGTGGGTAAGAGCATGACGTGGGAAGGCGTGGGAAAAGATGAGGGTCCCGCCCGCCCCCTGGAGAGGAGGGAGGAGGGAAAACCGCTGGACTCTTGAAACGGGAAGGCGGCTAAAATAGATTGGGATCTGGGGATACAAAGATACATCCTTCCAACGACCGGCATGCACGCGAGATGACTTAGCGGCTAAGCGACCTTCCGCGGCGGCTTACGCGGGCCGCCTGCGCGGAACGCTACACTGAAGCGAGCACGCTTACGCGCGACCTTGCGCGGGCAGCTTACGCGCCAATATCGGTGAAGACGACCCCGTCTTTCCACGTCGTTTAACTGTAGGGGGGGCGGGCTCAGGGGGCTACATATCGACCTGGAAGCGGCGATGCATCGCCGGCAGGTTGGCGACAGGGCCCCTGTAGCGGATCCGCACGTTCCTGGGCGGGGAGGGTTGTCGGGCCCCTACGGGCGATCAGTGGGCGATTGGGGGTCGATGCATCACCCTGAGCCTCTCCCCCTGATGTTGCCGCTGATCCTCCTCCATCCTCGACAACCATCCTCTTCCTGCTCCTGCCCTGGGCGATCGTCCTCATCCATCCCTATCCTTCTGAAGAACTTCTCCCTGTCGCGCACCGAGGCGTGTCGGTAGGGCGGGCAGGGAATTTGGCCTGACAAAAAGTAAGAAATTCACGGCTGGAGGGCGGCCCGTGTTCAAAATGTGGCTCTCGCGTTAGTGCCGCGCACATTCGTCGAAGTAATTTGCGAACGCTTCAAGGATGGAGGGCGGGCCGTCTTCAACATGTGTTGTTTGCCTTAGCATTGCGCGCAGTCGTTGTAAACATGTGCAATGGTTTTCATGGATGAAGCGGTGCCTTTTCAACGTGTGGCTTTCGCTTGAGCATTGCGAGCATGTCCGAAGAAGAACAAATATTCACGTGTGGAGGGCGTTTATTGTTTCACAATATGGCTCTCGCATCAGCGCAACGCACATGTGTTTAAAGCTTTGCAGCGGTTCATGGCGAACGTCACGGCGCAACAGTTACGTTGATTCGCGGTGTTGGAATCCTAAGACCGGCATTCTGGCAAAAATCCGGACCGTCAGACGCAACAGTAACGGTGATTCGCGGCGTTCAATTTCCATGAATCGTGTTTGGGCACCGTTCAAGATCGTCACAAGTTTGTTTTCCAACGGGGCATTTCGCTGAGTGATAATGAACCCTTGCAGGGGGCTTGGGAGCAGGGAAATTGGAGGGACAATGGATTGCAACATCGTCGGTTGGCCATGGGTTTGCACTGTTATTTTTTCCTCCTCTTCGTCCTTCCCCCTGCGTCCGATCGCGCGCGCCCGCGCGCAGGAGGCGAAGGGCTGCCTCTTGGATCTGCAGGAGGCTCGCGGACGCAGACGGCAGGGTCTTCTTGAAAAGCTCCTGGGGGGGAACCAAATGCGGTGGCGGAGCAGCGCCACGCGGGTACGTGCCCGACTCCCGACGCCTGGGAATCCAACCGCGGATAACCACGGCGATGCCGCCGCGAAAGTCGTCGAGGAACACTGGCCGCCACGTCCGGTTCGCCGGACTGGAGCAATTCAAAATTGTTTTCGGGCTGCCATGTGCATCGCCGCCTTCGACGTCTGGGGGGCTGGTTTTGGCCTTAATGCAACAAAAACGTGCATCATATAACGTTTCCGACGGTAGGACCCTGCACGCAAACTCACGTGCGCTTGGCCCTGGCCATCTCGTCCTCGCCGAGCGGAAACCCTCCCCCCTCACTCTGCGTCCTCCTCCTGTTCCTTACTGCCCTCATCGTTGCATGTGTTACCGTCCTCTTCCTCTTCCCCCTTTTCCTCCTTCACGTCCTCCTCCACCTCTTTCGTTTTCCTCGTCCTCGTCCTCGGCCCCCTTCTCATCTTCCTAGTTCCTAATTTTCCACTTCCTCGTCCTCCTCCCTCTCCCCCTTCCTGTTCCTGCTCCTGCTCCTCCTCCCCCCCCACCTCCGTTGTCCCTCTCCTCGCGTCCATCTCGCCTTTTTTCTCCTCGTCCGCTAGGGGGGTTCGCGGCGCGATGTTCTTTGGCGATGTCGTTGGCGCGGCCAACAACGGCGATGTCCCCGATGGCCGGAAAACAAAACCGTCGAGGCAACCCCGCAGGCCAGGCCGCTGGGACCGCCCCGCGAACCGCTAGGGCGCGGGAGCATTCCTTTGGCACGAAACCGCAAGAACCGAGCAAATCGCGGCCGCGCTCCGGCGGGGCGCCACGTGAAGCCGAGCTCTGCCACGAGCTGCTCCGCCTCATCCCTAGAGCTCTCAGCTCTCTTGTCGAACACCCCGCCGCCTTCAGCGAACGCGGCGGCGGCCCGCGCCGAAAGAATTTTCGCGCGGGCGGCCGCAGGATCACCATGTTCCGCGCGCGCGTGTGGCGCGGAGGGAAGCATGGCGCAGAAGCGCAGCCGCCGCTGCTCGGCCGACGTGCCCGCGCGACCAGCGCCCTCATCCCTGGCGCAATCGATGGTGACACCCTTGCGCAGCGTCTGACCCTGCGACAGCGTGGAGATCAGGTAGGACCCGCGCGCGCCAGGTTCAATCCCGAGCGGCGCGCGACGTGCGGCCCTGAACTCTGCCACGTGAGCTTTTGCTCGCTGGGCCTGGACATGAGCGAGCTCCCCGCCCGCGCCTTGCCCTCACCGTTGTCGCCGGCGCCTTCGACGCCGTGCAACGGCAGCTCTGCGACCTCATTGTAGATCGGAGACTCCTCGAAGCCGTGGGCCTGCAACCAGATTCCCAGCGGCAAGAAGCGGGGGCGAAAGAGCTGGCCCGGCGCCTCCTCGTGCCCCCGCTCGTCTTCGTGGCCTCGCGGCGAAAGCCGAAGGACACGATGGTGGCCCGCTGCTCCTGCACAAACCCCAACTTGTTCTCAACTCCTCCTGCGCAGCCGAAAACCCAAAACCCCATGCCGACGCGTGCCCGCCAGACGCCGTGGATGTCCCCCGTTTGTGCATCATCAAAACGTGCAGGAGACGACGGCCCGCGTCGGGATCGCCTTGGGTCGTATTGCGCTCGCTTACGGCCTACAGGACCTAGGGCACGCCCAGACGCCGCGCGTCGCGACGAGCGCGCGTGTTGATCCACCTCGCCAACGTCTCCCAGTAAATGGCCGTGCCGTAGCAAAACACGAGAATCTCGTGTTTGTGCCGAAGGTCCAAGACGCCGTGGTTGTCCGAGGCCGGCGCTTCGTTGCAAGGCAGGCCGGACTGACAGGAACCGCTTGCCCTCGCGCGTGCAACCCAAAAGCGTGATCAGAGGGTCCCCAGGCGTGCCAGGATTCCAACATGAAGTGCAGTCCCCATAGGGAAGGTTTCCTGCTGCAGACTTCCTTGCGGCCGCTTGGATTCGAACGTGACATGGGGAACCCACTGAACAGGGCTCCCGCTCAAGACATTTTCGCGATTCACTCGCTGACGGCGCCTTGGTTCGAGACTTCCTCCACTTTCAAGCCTGCGGCCCCCAGAAATTACGACAATTACAAACTTGCCGAAGCCCGCCCAAATTCAAACATGCAGGGGGGGGCCCCATAAGGAGGGGCCCCCTCTCGAGACATCCTTGCGATTCATTCGCAGAGGGCGCTCTGGCTCGAGAGTCCTCTATATTCAAGCCAGAGGAACCCGAAACCGGCGCGGATTCGAACATGCGGAAAGGGAACCCCATAAAGAGGGATTCCCGCTCGAGACTTCCTCGTGGATTCGCTAACAGACGAGGTTCCAGCTCGAGACCTCTTCCAAATTCAAGCCTGGGGAGGCAGAGCCAATTGACAATTACAAATGTTCCAAAACCTACACGGATTCGAACATGCAGGAGGGACCCCACAGGGGTGGGCCCCCGCTCGAGACTTCCTAACGATGCTCTCACAAACGGGGCTCCCGATTGAGATTTCCTCCATGTTCAGACCTGAGCAGCCCCAAAGAGATGACAATTATAGGTTTTCGAAACCTGCTCGGATTCGAACACGGAGGTGGGGAACCCAAAGGGAGGGGCTCTGGCTTGAGACTTCCACGCAGATTCTCTCACAGACGAGGCCCCAGCTCGAGACTCCATCCGTATCAGCGCATGAGTGTGCGAGTGATTGAATGAGTGTGTGAATGGTGGTGATCATAATCATGATGACCATGATGATGATAATGATGATGATTCTGATGATGATGATGGTGGTTATGATGCTGATGTTGATGCTGATGATGATGCGAGATGAATGATGAGTCATAAGTGGATATAAATGAGTGGGTCAGTGGATGAGTGATGGTGATGATAATGAGCAAGGTTGCGGTGGTGCTGGAGTGCGCGACTGATTGGGCACAAGAGGGGGGGGCGAGATCCTGCGCGGGGTATCTGCGCAGAAGACACAACCCCCACGTAGAATGTGGAGAATGATGATGATTGTGTAATTGTGCGAGTGTGCGCGTGTGTGTTTGTGCGTGTTCGTGCGCGTGTAAGTTCAAATGGTTATGACGATGGAAATGATGAGGATGACGATACTGATGATGGTGGTGATGATGGCGGTTGTGATGGTGCTGACGATGAGACAGACGATGCAGATTATGATGATGGCGCAGGCCCTTCAAGCACCAAATATCCTGAAGCCCCATCTCCGTTGAAACAGAGCACGGATGTGAGGCTTCCGCTTCGACATTGCCCTCGCGCGCGCTTTGTAAAATGTGAGAACGCACTCAGGGCCAAATCGTTTCAGGTTCCTGAGAGAACTAACGGTGCTGAGTATCAGATCGCGTGCAAGCATGGTAGAGTGCAAGGCAGGATAGTTGGTAACATTATGTCTGTGAAGCAGCAGGCGGTCCTGGGCCGCCCAGGAGAGGTAGTCAAGAGGAAGGTGGGGCAGAACCTGACAGAGCGGTTCAAGAGCGCATGGGCTGTCAAAATAGTGGAGGATGCGATCGCCACCACACGCTCGGCACCCGAACAGGCAAGCATGTCGCCCCTGACGGTACCTGGAACTGGTGGCCCAAGAATTACAAATACCTTTCAAGACTGCGGCTCCCGCGAACGGGGCAAGTAAGCTTTATACGCATAACTACTATATCTGCCTTGGGAAGCTGAGCAGTGTTGTCGACATGGCGAATACGAGGGAGGAGAGCAAGATTGGCAAACATCAGGGTTTGCCTACGCCTCATAATGTTATTCACTTTGTTCTGCAGCATGTCAGTGTCGAAGTCAACTATCAACATAGGAAAAGCAGTCACCTGGCTGCAATTGGCAATCAAGGAAGAACATATACTGGATTCATACCACTCAGTGTGGCGCGGAACTGCTAGCCGATCGATCTCCTCATCCTCCAGCCAGGCGAACCTTCCTCGCACTTCAGGGAACCAGCAAGATTTTAGTGCGACCCGGTAAAAACAGACCCTGGATTCTCTCTGGAGGTCTCTGGGATCGTGAGGGAAGCACAGCACCGACGGGGATCTAAGGATGTCTGCAGGAATGGAATGCCTGGGAGCGGACGCGAAAAGCTGATGAACTTCTCTTTTTTCAGCACAGCTGGCGGCACCTGATACAGCTGGCCTACAAAGCTGAGCACGGAGAAGGCCAGCGAGTTGTAGGCTATGTTATTCTGGCATAGCCCTATAGACAGACCTTTGATGTGCCAGACTCTCTTGATGTATTTGACCCCTGGTTATGATGATTATGATTATGATGAGTATGATGACGATTATGATGATGATGCTGATGACGATTATGATGATGATGACGATGATGATGATGCCAATGCTGATGCTGATGATTGGTGGTGGTGGTGAGGATGAGGATATGTATTTACGGTGGCCGCGCCGGCGCTCGTGTTGGTTCGGCAAAAGTCCTGCTGCTCAAACGCATCATTGCCCACACTACGTGGTTACTGCGAGCTGGGAGCCACCATGACCAGACCCGAAACGCCAGAATGCGCCTGCATCATGCGGGCCGTCCCCCAGGATAATACAACCTACCTATACGACCACCCTGCGGGTGATAAGGAGGTTTGGGGGGGGCCCAGCAAGGGGCAACAGTGGTGAATGTTGTTGTGACAGTGCCAGTGGAGATCGTTGCGTTGCCGCTCGCTCTTGGGGGCGTTGGTGTCGAGTTGTTTACGTCACCCTTCCCCTGTTCCCCTGGGAACCTGCCCAACCTGCGCCACGGCAGCTAACGGCGCCATTTGGCCACAGAAGACTGAAGCGCTGGAAAGTTTGGCGCAGCCCGCGCCGCCTCTTGCACTATCGATCTTAGTATCGATATCTCTATCGGTCTCACTCAATCGAACCCACTCGATCAATCTCACCATCGATCTCATCATCGATCTCTCTGTGGAGGAGAACCTGAGAGAAGACCTCATTCGCTCTCATTCGGTCTCACTACCGATCTCACAATCGATATCACTATCGACGTCGTCAT